ATCTAGAAATTCAAAGTAGATATATTTTTAAGGTGTTGCAATAGGGAAGCTTTATCCTCCTTGCTGAATCCTTGACCAACCTCCCAAAACCAATGTCGCACAGGAGATGCAGCACTGTAACCAGAGTACTCGGCATTTGCCCTCAAATCATCAACTGGGAGAAGCTTCGAGGAATTCGTGGTGGGAATGTTCGCCACGGCTGGATCGTCGCCCAAGCTGGGATTGGGGTTGAATTTGGGTTCTCCATGGAACCCGGTGTGGGTTCTTTCGAGAACCCTGATCTGGGTTCTCAAGAAAACCCAAATTTGGCTTCTCCATTTCCATGACAACAGAACCCAACAACTTCCATCTCCATGACAGCCTATTGAACAACACCCTCTCACTCTCACTCTTCTGGTAATTAGATCTTGGGACATAGGGGAAAAGAAGAGAGGTGGTTATTATGGGAGAGAAACTGAAAATTTGCGTGGTGTGGGTTCGAAGAATCCAGTTCTTTTGAAAAAAAAAAAAAAACAAAAACAAAAAAGGGACGAAGATAGAAAAGGAGGAAGAAGAAGAGTTAGAGGAAAAAGAAAAATAAAGAAAAAAAAAAGGTGGAATTTTGGAGGATAACATGGCATGCTTGCGTCGTATACATTTGCTTATGTGTAAGGGTGACATGGCATTTTTGACAGAGTGTGATGGGCATGTTACGGAGCGTGAATTTTTTCTGTTAATTTCGGCATAAATTTAAATTCTCAAACCTGTGCTATTTAGGGGCTTAAAGTTACAAAGTTATAGTACAAGGAAACCTAAGGTCTATTTTAGGAAATTGAGGGGTTAAACAGTAAATTTTGCCAAAAGATACTCTCAATCATACCCTCCCTCCTTGTATAGGAACAAAATCAATGGCTTCTTTCATCTCATCTGTCCCAAAAAGGTGATAATTTCGATTATGGTTTCTGTTTGTATGTTTCGCCTTAACTAATTAATTTAAGTTTGAAGGCTACAAGGAAAGGTTGCCCTGATCACTGGAGGAGCCAGCGGGAAAGGTGAATGCACCGCTAGAGCCTTTGCACATCATGGAGCCAAAGTTGTAGTCGCTGACATCCAAGACAAACTAGGTCAATCAGTTTGTGAATCCATAGGCCAATCAACCTCCACCTAAGTCCACTGCAGTGTCATTGACGAGTCCCAAATCGAAAACACCGTCGACAAAGCTGTTGCCACCTATGGCAAACTAGACATAAAGTTCAACAACGCTGGCATATATAGTCGACGAAAACAAACCTCACATAATGGACAATGAAAAATCTCATTTCGAGCGCGTTCTTGGCATGAACGTTACCGGAGTCTTCCTGGGGATCAAGCATGCGGCTAGAGTCATGCATGGTCCCAGCTCGTAGTCTCTGCATAATCTCCACCTCTCTAGCATAAGTTCAGCCATTGGTATTGCAGCCTCCCACGCTTATACTGCTTCAAAGCACACTGTGCTAGGACTTACAAGAAATGCTGCAACTGCGCTAGGACGATTTGGATTAGAGTTAATTGTCTGGCTCCCTACACCTGTGCAACACCTTTAGCCAAGAAATTCGTGGAGGGTGACGATGAGGAACTTGAGAAGTCGATGAATTTGGTTGCTCATTTTAGGCCAGGCCCTATATTTATATCTTGTACTTTTTTTTTTTTTA